CTACATTGCATTTGAGTATGGAGAGGCAACTATCTGGAAGTATTTTACATAAAAAATTTACTAAGTATTGCCCGGTTTGTAGTTGCAGTTAAAGAAAACACATGAAAAGGCACGATTTTTTTTAAATTCGAAAAAATGTAAATATTTCAAAAACGGTGACACTTTTACCTGAAAATTTTTTGTTTATCACGGAGCTCACCCCCCCACCTACCTTCCCCTAAAGTTTGGCACGTTACTTCTGGGACACCCTGTATATACACGAGAATTGGAAGTTTTTATCCAGACGTCCAATCGACATGTTTGAGATATCGTTGGAAAGATGTGACGAAAATTATACGCATTTTTTAACTGGCTTTGAAACGTACGGAACATTTTTTTTTTATTTATTCGGAACGTTGAGAAATTCTCTTTACTGCTAGAAACACAAAAAAAAACAGAAGTTTTGCAACGATTCGTATGAATAAAAAAGATTTTCCCTACGTTTCAAAGGCAGTTAAAAAATGCGTATAATTTTCGTCACGAAATTGTTATCAAAAATTTTGTATTTGTAGTTCAGCTTTCGTCACTCGAAAATTTTACCTCAAAGAGGTGTTCTATTTGATAACTATAATCACAAAACGGTTATTTGTAACAGCCTGAAGAAATCGAGCTAGATATATATGGGCAAATCTAAAATACTTTCAAAACAAAAAGTTTATATTTTTATATATGATTCTACTCGTCATCTCTTAATAAATCCATAAAAATAAGTGTAATTCATTTTCATGAAGTGCTTCAAAAGTTAGACGAGGAATAAACATTTGATCGCTGAAATAGAAAACAAAAAAATAAGCTGGGTTCAAATTACGCTGTGCAAGTTGTAAATTTTGAGCAAGGATTTTGAAAGTTGAACTCACTTAATTGGGACGTTCTGAATTCAGAGGCATCCCCCGTTTTCCCAGATTGAGTTCATTAATTAATTAAATTTTACCTATTTTATAAATAACTCCCTCAGTTTTGAAATTAATTTACTAAAATTTTGCACATAACGCTGTTTTAACCGATCTCGATGACTTGAAGAGATAGTGAATGTAATATTAAAATACAGTCGTGTGCAAAATTTTAGTAAAATATCTTCAAAACTGAGGGAGTTTTTTTTTATAAAATAGTTAAAATTTAAGCAAAGTTTCTGGCAAAACTGGGTACGTCATTGAATTTAGAAGTAAGAGCAACTATCAAAAACTTTCTCTAAAAAAAGTTGATTTGATATAATGCTCGAAATATTCTGACTACAAGAAAGAGCACCGTTAAAAGTAGTAAATCAGAGTTTTTACAGACTTCCAGTGAAATTTTTTTTTTAAGCATTTTACAGGTATATGAATAAGGCCTAGTAGTTATAAAAAGATTTAGATCGGTTTGACCTATTTTCCAATTGTGCCTGCAATTAAGAGGTTTTTGGAATAAAAATTACGCTTATGATCGCAGAATGTTTCATCTTTAAAAGTTGGTTTATTATGTAAGCACACCTCTGGCTAAGGTATCAAACTATTCGTAATTGTTTGTAGAATGCTATACATACTTAAAAAGTTCTTAAAATGAAATGCTTCAAAAATTATTCGCGATAAACCGAAAATTTTGAAACTTGTGAAAAGTAGTTACAAACTTTAAGTTACTTGCCATTTAGTTAGTTTTTAAAGCACAGTTTTGTTACCTACTTCATATGAAGTGTAAGTTAGGACATAATTAATTTTTTACCTCTTAAAAATGACATACAAATTCACTTGTTTTTAATATTTTTTTTAATTAAAACATCTATAACTCAAAAGTTATGCAACAAATTGATTCAAATTTTTTTTGAGGTTTCAAGTATACATACGTCTATGAATTATATCCAAAAGCAACCAGCTTGATTTAGTTTACAACCATGAAAATAAAGCTAGAGGTGTTCTTACACGATATGTATTCGCATCTGAAAATGTGACTTTTTCAATACATATGTATGTAATTGCGTATGTCTGTCAAATTCGCAGTCTTTATTTAACTAAATATTTAAAATAGGTTCTTTGAAAACGAAATAAACTAAGCTCAAATGATTCTATCT